AAATGCCAATTTATGTTATTTAATGTTAAAAATTCTGTAAATCTTGCATCTATGCGAATTTTCCTAATGGTATTCTTCAACTCCCTTACACCTCCAACAAAATTTGTTGTGCCGTTATCAGAATATATTTCGAAAGGAATACCTCTTCGCGAATAAAATCTTTCAAGACAATTTAAAAATGCCTCTGTAGACAAATCACCTGCTAATTCTAGATGTATGGCCTTAGTTGCAAAACAGACGAAAACGCATAAATAGCACTTAACTAGAATACGATTCTTGGCCTTACCATCCTTCACGAAAAAAAGGTCCAGCATAATCTATGCCAGTTACAAAAAATGGACGTTGGGGAGTCAACCTATGTCGAGGTAGATTTCCCATTTTATTTGATAGAGTTTTTGGATTAGATTTGAAACATGTGACACAATTACGCAATATCTTTTGGGTTACATGTCTACCATTAATTGGCCAGAAGTTCAAACGCACACTAGCTAGTGTGGCTTGAGCTCCTGCATGCAAATTTCTTTTGTGCTCATATAGAATTTTTAATTTTGTCAGGTGTGAATCACTGGGTAGAAGAATAGGATGTTTTTTATCGAAGGAAAAATTTGATAATTTGAGACGTCCTCCAACTTTAATCAGATCATTTGAATCTAATATGGGATTTAAAGCAATAATTTTGCTCTTGGAATGCAGAGGTTTAGAAGCCTTTAAATTTTTCAATTCCTCTGCAAAGCACAAAGATTGGACTATTTTACAAATAACAAGTGTGGAAGACTTGATAAATACCCTAAAACGCGTTGATTTAGGTTACATTTACAGTTATATGAAAATCGTAGACAGTAAGCTACAACACGATGTAATCTAATAAAAGAGGAAAATTTGCTTATGAATTCAATGTTGATATTTTGAGTGATAAGTGTCAATTTTGTTTGTCGTGATTCGGGTAAGGAGCAAGTTTTGTCGAATGAGCTTGTAGGCCAAAATTCTTGTTCATGCATCAAAAAAGTAGGACCTGACCACCATATAGTACCTACATTGTTTCAATTTTTCTGGACTTAGCCCTCTGGAAATAATATCTGCTGGGTTATTTTCCAAGGAAACGTGGTGCCATTGATTGACAGTTGTGAAATTTTGAATTTCTGCGATTCTGTTGCCAACAAAAACACTTAATTTATTAGGTTCTAAAGCAATCCATGATAGCACTATGGTTGAATCAGACCATAAAAATATATGTTGAAAATCAATTTTTAACGAATTTATTATTCTTTGGCTCAGGCGAGTCAATAAAACAGCTGCTGAAAGTTCTAAATCAGGTAATGAAATGGTCTTGAGTGGTGCGACTCTAGATTTAAATAACAGCATGCGCCATATGCCCTTGTTGAAGCATCACTGAAACCAGGGACACTTTATCCGTTAGGACAATTAGGTCATGTCCTACGGGCCACTAGAGAATGAAGGCCAACTGCTGGCCTTTAATTTATAATATAAAATATAAAAGCCCACTATACTAAAAACATCGACTTGTTTAATAGCAGGACTAGCATATATTTCAATACTTTTTTAATTCTTATAATTCACACTGCAGAAACACATTTGGTTTGGCCAGAGTGGACTGCCTGACGTCACGATGCTCTAGAATCGCTCCGCTCGCTCCATCAAGCATCAATCCGGAACACGCCCTAGAGTCACCGAGCTGCGCTGAATCGCCTTCGCGTCATTAGCGCAGCACACGGGGCACGTGGCAACTGGAAACGACTACAGGGTCCTTATTCTTGAAACAGGGGAGCAGTGTTCCCAGGAGAACGAATGTTCTGTCTTTCTCAATGATATGCAAATGACAATATAATTTACAAAGACAAAACACTCGTTCTCCTGGGAACGCTGCTCCCCTGTTTCAAGAATAAGGACCCAGCAGGAAACTGTAAAGGGGTCATTCCAATCCGAGCGACCGCGACAAGCGACCGAGACCGAACGACTTTGCGACCTTAGTCTCATGTCACGAGGCGACAAATAGCTTACGAGTACACACGACTCCGGCTCGAGACCGGACCAACGACCCAGCAGGGCCCCAAAATACTGTTGCATTCTGCATTGGTGTGAACTTGCAGAAACCACGTCAAACACCAAAATGAGAAAACATTTAAGAAAACGTTTATTGGAAGACGAAGCAGAAGAGGATATAGTTCTGTTGACGTTGTCGCCAGGAAAAAGACAAAAAATTGATCCAAACCTACACATCAAAATCATATGAGGGATGCAGCCAACTGTTTATCTTAAAAAAAAGACATTTGAAGTATAAAGATGAAACATCGGATGGAAAGTTCAGGAAGTATTGTAGACTAAGTCATAAACAGTTCAATTTTGTACTGAGTTCAGTAAATGATACTAAATCTACTAGCAATTCGTCCTCCTGGGCAGAAAACTTTGCCATTTTAAGAAGTTTTATCTGTTCTAGGTCTGTCTAGTCTCGCAGAACCACTGCTTCTAGAGCAGACCGGTCGCGCGATCGTTGTCGCAAGCTGGGCCCGCCTACCGGTCGCGTGTCGCTGTCGCTTGCATCGGTCTGTACTGCCTACAAATCTATCAAAGCAGGCCGTTGTGGTCGCACGTCGCGATCGCTCGGTCTCGGTCGCTTGTCGCGGTCTCTTGGATCGGAATGCTACCTTTAGTGTTTGCGCTGCTTTGCCAAATTGTAATTTCTTCGAGCTTCTTCTGGAGCATCCAAGGACTTGAGCAGTGTCTTAAGGGTCCAGTGCACCACGAAGTCGTGCCTTGTTGTTGTTGTTGAGCTTGTAGGACATGCACAGGCAACGTGGTACGAATATTTTTCTCAGTGATGCAACCCTTTATGCATTTTTTCCTCGCTAATGGATTTGATCCCAAGCCATGCAGCTGTTCTTCCCAAGCACCCATCAGTACACTTAGTCCCCAGCATCCATATGTTGTGATTGGTAGGCTGCAAGCTCAATGCCATCGTTTTCTTTTAAGACGTTCCGACCATATAGCGTGTTTTGTGACCATTCTTGTTCCATCATTTTATAGTACCTTTCTTTTATTTTACCGGCAACATTTTTTGTCTTTATCTTCTGCCAGGTTAGTAGTTTGAAATCGTCTGAATGACTTTATTAAACCCTATAAAAAAGAACAATCACGCATGAAAGGCCATACCAAATAATTGACCTACGGGCCAGAGAAGGGTTAAAGCGTCACTGACTGAAACCATGAAATTCTATCTTGATTGGGTTGCTACACAAAATATGTCTTGGAATTTTGATGTTGTGAATTTCTGGCAATTGCGCCTGAAAAGATGTCCAAACATTCAAGATGTCAGTGGGAACGTCTTCATCCCAATTTAAACTTTCCTGTCAGAGGACTTCAAGCAAAATTTTTGCCTTGATGACACAAGGACCAATCAAGCCCAAGGGTCCAAGTATTTTAGCAACAGTGGCTAAAATTATCCTTTTCGTGATTTTGTTTTTTTGGGTTAAATTGACTGTATATTGAAAAAAGTCTTCTTGGGAGTTCCAAGTTAATCCAAGAGTTTTTGTGGGTTTTTCGTCAGACATAATTTTTTGATTCGTGGATGATTTTTTATCAATTATGTTGTCTAGAAACATGTCATTATTAGTTACCCATTTTCGCAGTCTAAATCCTGCAATTCTGAGAATTTTGTCGACATCAGAGAAAAAAAAGTTTGCCTTCTTCCATGGAATCGCAACCTGAAAGCAAATCATCCACGTAGAATGAGGATATTATAACGTCATGCGCTCATGGAAAAATATTTTTGTTGTCAATTGCAATCTGTTGCAAAGACCTGATAGCCAAAAAGGACGCACTAGAAGTGCCATAGGTAACAGTATTAAGCTTATAATGATCTCTACCTTGTGATGAATTAAATCTCCATAAGATTTTTTGAAGAGGTCGGTCATCTCCGTGTACCATTACACATCTGTACATTTTTTCTATACTGCATATTCATGACACCGGAATCGCATTACAATGTCCATGAGATCGCTTTGTGTTCTTGGTCCGACTTTCAAAGTGTGATTGAGGGAAAGCCCAGTTGTTGATTTCATGGAGCCGTCAAAGACGACTCGAAGTTTTGTGGTTGTACCTACTAGATTCCTTGATTACTCCGTGGTGAGGTAAAAAGAAATTCTTGTTGTCGGGTGTTAAGATTCTATCAGAATTACTGATTTTGGACATGGCCCCAAGGAAATGTATATTGTTTTTCAATGGAAGTTTTACAACAAAATTGCCCGATGGATTTCGAGTGGTGTGTTTAAGAAATTGTTCTTCACACTCTTTTTCTTCTGATGATCTTAGACAAACTGGGGCCGCTTCCTCAAGGAGCCAAAATTTCTCAATTTGTTCATGAATTGATACATTACAGTCAATAGAAAGATTGCAAATGGATGAGTTATGACTAGAAACTGATAGAGGACCCGAAACTATCCACCCAAGTAGAGTTTCTTGTAAAATAAGGCCATTATTGGAAAGTTTCAATTGATTGGGACAAATCAGAGTCCAAAAATAGGAAGCTCCAATTAGCATATCGATGGGAGATGTTTTGTTAAAGGCATCGTCTGCCATTACGATATCTTTGGGAATGTTCAAATTTTGTGTGTTAAAAAAAAATTCTGGTAGATTTTTGGTGATTTTATCTATGACAAGACAAGATACATTTGTCAGAGAAAAGTTATTTAACATGGAAAATAAATCTACTTGGACTCTTTTAAATATTTTTGTTACACTGCTGCCAAATCCCTCAACTGTATGCTTTACCTCAAATTCCTCAAGATTAAGTTTTCAGACATGAAATTTGATTGGGAGCAGTTATCGAGCAAAACACAACAAATATGTGGCTTGTTCGAGTTGTCATATTAGTTACCTTTGCTGTGGGTAAAATGACGTATGGTTCTTGGGTGATGGTGAAGGTGTTTGTAGGTGCATTTGTCACAGAAAAAGCCTGTGAATTTCCTTGATGTTGAGTGCTAGAACTAGCAAGTGCTTGTGCTTTTTGAACTGATGGCAAAGCGGCAAATTTGAATTGTGTTCGTTGTGCGAGAAATATCCTCATTAGTGTTGTTTTTATTAATGTGCAATAAAGAAATACGACGATTAGAGCATTTTCTGCAGGTGAATTTGCTCTTGCAATCTTTTACTGTATGTCCCTGACGTAAACAATTTGTGCAAGCATTGATTTTGCGGACTCTGTTAAGCCGATCACCTGGACTAAGTTCCAGAAATGATGGACAAGAATAAATAGAATGATCCTTCTTACACATGGGACAAGAATTTGTTGTGATTGCAAAGCTTGAACTTGTATTGCGTTTATGATAAGTTGTTACTGGGTGGTTTATTTACTGGTTGGTGAGAATTGATCAATGAATGGATATTTTCAAGCATTTGGCAATGTCTATTGAGAAATTATGTTAAATCGTTTAAACTGGGTGTGTCTGTGTGTAATTGTAAAGAAAAGTCTTCCCACTGCCTTCTAGTAACGGGGTCTAGTTTGGATGTAATATGAAAAATGATTATGGTGTCCCAATGTTTCACTGGCAAACCCAATGATTCTAGAGCTTATAAATTGTGACTAAAATGATCTATCAAAGTTCTTAAGCTAACGGACGATTCCTTGTGAATAGATGGAATGTCAAAAATCGCTTTAATGTGACTTTGAATTATAATTTTATTATTTTGATTCCTATCGCATAAAAGAGTCCATGCTCTGTCATAATTAAGCTCAGCCACTTCTAATAATTGCAAAATGTTTGCTGCCTCGCCCTTTAAACAAGATTTTAGGTACCAACATTTTTCAATTTTGCTCAAGGTACTGTTAATCAAAGATTAAAGGCCGGGATAGACGCTCCGTCATGTCCATCAACTTGCTTGCGCAAACTTAAATTGTACGAATTATCGCAGCGTTAGTGCTGATAAGTCGGCAGACTTATTACATTTGCACAGACAATTGTTTGGCTTGTATGAAATCAAACCGGTCAGATATTTTCCTGCGTATACAGATTTGCCTAGCGATAAGTTGTATTGTGTGGCATGTAACTGCTCTTTCAACTTATTAATTGCCCCTTTTATTTCTGCTAAAAAAAATTTTTTTGTGCACAGAGCAGGCGAATTTTATATTTGAAAAGAAGATAATATAGTTGATTCAAGCATGTCAGACCTACGTCTTATGTCATGAGACTTTCTCACGAATTTCATCAATTTATATAGGGAAAATCTATGTCTTTGGAAGGTGAAATCCAAAGAATACACAAACACAAAAAAAAAGCAGCTCATGAGATAGGTACTTATTGTTTTTCTCATAGCTGTATCCATCCTTTCAATTTGAGGCGTAGGTAACCTTCGGCGTAACTATCTGAAGCAATTCCATATAAGTTTCGCAAATAATTGAACCGATCCTCAGGTTCTAATCGAAGCTCATTCAGTATTCAGTAAATTGACATGTGATAATTATTGTTGTCGCTTCAGTAATCATTATTTTGACCACTTCGCACGTTTTTTCTTACTTCATTTTCGCTTTTTCACTGCAATGGCAATAGCAGCCGCACACATAAGATCGTCAGCCATATTGCTTTTCATTAACTGAACGGTTAATTGATCAACAAGACTGAATAGTTAGGAGTTCAATAAGGATTCAGTCTTGCCGTACAATATAAGATTGCGCAAACAAGTTGATGGACATGACGGAGCGTCTATTTCGGCCTTTATACGTATCTGAAAATTGCAACCATTGGGCATACACCCCTGAAAATTCAGGTAATTTTATTTTTGGTAAATTCATGTTAATATTGCTACTTACCATCCTTGGTGAATGTGTGGGAGGTGTACTTGGTTGGCTTTGTGAGAAGGATTTGTCAATTAATGCCTTGGCTATTCCTGTGTTGTCAAAAAACATGTCTTCAAATTCTATTCTATATTTTGTATGATCAACATTCACATCATATAATTCCAGGTCACCTTGAACACCTATGAATTCTGCCCATAATGCTTGTATCCTCTCCAATCTGCTCTGAAGGTTGTAAATTTTGGTATTATCTGAAAATGAGCCTACAAAATCTGAGAACCTATTTAATGCTTCAAAAATCTTTGTTCTGTTACTCTTAAGACCCTCGATTTTAGTAAGAAATAGCTCTTCATTCTGTTTTTTAGTATTTGGCATGTTTGATTAACTGTCAAAACCTTGTCAAAACCAATAAATGCAATATGTATGGAATTTTATGAAAATGTGGAATTTCAGCATCAACAACAGATGAAGCAACCTAACTAATTGGCTTGTGTTTCCAATTAATAAAGATTGATGATGTAATAATATAAGAAATGATGATAATGATTGATTGAGTATACCATCAGCTCTTGGACTTAGAGCTAAATTCCTGTTCTTGTTTACGCGTCTTCTTGTTAAAGCACTCTGCTCCAATGGCTGATGATGCATGAACGATTTGACGTTGATTTTGAAACTTGGAACTTTTTCCAATCCCGATTTCTTGCTCGTTCCTCTTCTGTTTCTCTTCTTTGGCTAATAAACCTTAGGAACGATACTCGAAGGACCTGCTTGCATGAAAATCTTGAAAATATCGGCTAGATTGTTTATGTATCCGGCTTCTGAGACCATGTAAGAATCTCCCTTTGTACAGGGAAAACCTATTTGATAGATCGCTGATTCTTGAATAATATGATGTCTTGTTTATGTTGAAACTGATTTATTGCCCATATATTCACTTATATATGGAGGTAAGGTGTGGAAAGATAACAATATTAACAATGATCCTGATGATTTTTGAAAACTAAATAATAGCTATTTATATAACAAGTACATAAAGTAAAGCTTTATTGTATGAATAATTTTATGGCCGAGCGAGCTTGCGAGCGAGGCTATTAAATAATGAGTCAATAAAGCCTGTTTATGTAAGCGTTATATACATCATTTTATGTACGATTACGACTAGTTTTCGTTAAAAATTAAAAAAATCTAAAGGCGGTTACACACGGACGTGGATGTCTGAAAACATGTACGCACATACATGAACGCGCAAACAAAAACATCAATGTGTATGCAAAATACCGTCGCGTTTTTGAATGTGGAATCGGTAGAAATTTTGTATGCACACTCGGATTACTGTAGCAAGAATAGCAAAACTGCAGTTTTGTGCGAGCGTCTATACAAACGCGACATGCACGTTGTTGTTTGCACGTTGATGTATGCACGTATATGTATCAAGACATCCACGTCCGTGTGTAACCGCCTTAATGAAAAAAGTAAAATTCGCGTAGGTATACCGGTTTCACCTTGCCAGGTTGTCAGGACCTGTTTCACCTTGGCAGGTTGTCAGGACCTGTTTAACCTTGTCAGGTAGTCCAGGTAGGCAATAAAGTAGCACTTTATTTTACTAGTACAATAAAGTGCTACTTTATTGACGCAAAACTGTTCTATAAATAGCACTGTATTGGTCAATCGGACATAAAATAATAATTGTAATAATTATTGTAACAAAAGAAAAAATAAATAATGGCTGGAGACAATTGGCAAAGCCGCCCGTTCCTTTATGCTTGGTATTGAAAAAAATTACTAACTAGTACACTGATTTGACAGAGCACCTGAGGTCTGTTCGGTTGCCGTTTGTCTCTATCACCTATAAGTATGATAGGTAATACATTAAAATAAACTAAAACTAAAAACGTAAGTATGTGATTTTAAAATAAAATCACATGAGTCTCAACAGGGACTCTGTAACGAATAGAGTTATTTTCTCTCTATTGACGTCCCTTCTCGATTCATACCGAAAAGAGAGAAGAAGACAGCAAGTGCCATAGCGATAGGGATAACAATCTCTATTCGTTACGGAATCCCAGCCCAGGAAACCTCTTCAAAAAATTTTTGGAAAGTATTATCAATGCCGATTATGTTGTGTGGTTGAGGAATTAGCTATCACTAGCTATTTTCTCCAACTAAGCACCAATGTTGTTTATGGAATGTATTGAGTGAATTTGATGCTGCATTAAAGGCGATTTTTTCATCATCATCGTCATTATTTTCAGACAATTTTTTGTTTATAGTGACTATACAGGGTGTTTGGTACATCGATAGGAAGTTTTTAATCAGTGATAGTTGGGATCATTTGGAAGGTGTTTGACCATGTTTAACCTCATGCAAAGTTTCACCGTTTTTTAGATATCGTCATTTTTAGATATTTAGAATCCATGTATTTTAACACATAACTTGGGTTACATATTTTTGTACCAATCAATCGGTTTTTCTCTCCGTATTGTTTCGAAAGAGTACATATTAGGAATATCGGAAAAAAAATCGAGATAGGTTAAGTGGTTACTACCAAAAAAACAGTTTGTTTTCAGGAACAAGTCAAATATTTCTCAAAAATATCTAAAAAAAAAAATCTCAAAAACGACGAAACTTTGCATAAGGTTAAATATGGTCAATCAGCTTCCAAATGATCCCAACTATCATTCATTGGAAACTTCCTATCGATGTACCAAACATCCTGTATATGACAGAAGAAAATAGAATGAGTTTCGGAAGCGTCAGGCTGCGACGCTTAACACTGTACCGTTGGTGTAGAAAAAGATGATGACGATATAACTCGCAAATATTATCAGCAGCATTTTACTCCATGCTTTGTAACAAATTCAAGACAAATAAATCAGCATTTATTATTATAATAATATACAATATAATACTGTGAAAATAACTTCGAGGTATACCTAGTACTTAACTGAGCTCTAATTATGATTGTAAAGCCACATTATTTACAAGACAAATATTTGAATACCAATTAACTCTATATCTAAACATACTCTCCTATTTGCTAATCATTCCAATTAAATTTTGGCAATATTTAACCTATTACATTATTTGCCAATTAGCAGTTCACATTAATTTTGAAAAATAAAGGGGCCTGCGGATTCCGTCCCATCGATATTCACAAACAGATATCTCCTTTTTAGTATACTAAAAGAGAAATTTTTGTGACACAAAAACAAGCTCGATATAAAAATTATCAACAAATTTGCATTCACAATAATTTCATTCAGACCGAAGATAAATTACTTTCATGGCACGGAATATCCAATGCGCTCAAATTAGCATTTCAAATTTCCTGCTTCGATAGCTTTCGAGGATTTAGGACCAAACAGATGCTAATTCAAAAAAAAAAATTGTATACAAATATATTCAAAAATACCTTTTTTTCAGGGCTACGTAATCTATTCATCATCGGGTTCCTTTTACATTCCCTTGGCCATAATGACTATAGTTTACATCCATATATTTATTGCAACTAGAAGAAGGTTGCGAGAGAGAGCAAAGGCATCGAAAATTAACGCAATATCAAAGAGCCAATCAAAAAAAAAAGTTGATACTGATAGAGATAGTGTTAGCAGCGGAGAAACCAACTACAACGAACAAAATAGTGAAACAAATTGTAGAAAGGATAGAAGAAATAAGAAGAAGGCCAAATTGGAAAGTGAGGAAAAGAGACAACTCAAACCTATCCTGACTCACGAGGATTCTGTTACTGATATTGGTAAGTGAATAGGTAATAAAATTAGTACCTAGAAAAATTTGCTAATAAAATTAAGGTACACGTTGAAAACAGACATTGTCAAGAACATCCTCGTTTTATTCTGTCTTAAACAGAGAACGAGGGATAATTCAATTTGCTTGCGGAGAAAGAAACACTTATTTGAGGAAGTGGTCGCAAGATGAACTTATTAGGTTTTCTCCGGTAATCACCCAGGCAAAGGAAACTTTCCGGACCTAATTTTTCAGCATCATTAGAAGCAACTTGTGTGAGACAAAAGTTTTCCTGGCTGTCTTGTTTTTTGCTGTCTTTATTCTCTTTTAATAACACACGCCGCCAGAACATGTGTTTTCAAGCTTCTTTTTATGAGACAATGATGGTAATAAAAATAATCGTTTCTTTCTTTCCATATTTTTAATTTTTATATGATACATAGTGTGAAAATCGTATGCATATACATAGGTAAATTTACTTCAAGTAGACTAACTCCTTCAAGTCATTCTTATCAGATGATAAATTGTTGTCCCAAAAACGGAGAATGTCTCAAAGATTTCAAGTGCTATCTTGGCAAAATTGAACATTTTCTCCATTCGGTGTGGGATTTTTATTTCTGAATGCTAAAAATAGCAGTGTGAAGCCCTTTTGGCCCTTTGAAAAGCCAAAAAGGTTTTCTTATAACAATGTCTAGTTCTCAGAGTTGTCAGAAGCAAAAGTAAATCATGTATGTTAAAGTTGGCTTCCTCAACTTGACTCTAAAAGCTATAAATTGCTGCAAGAGGCTCTTCTTGTTCTTTAACAAGTTACGGAGAATTTGCTTTGAAAGAACATGACGAGAATATTCGAACAAAACCGTGTAATAATAATGTTTTACCAGCAACAAATTTTGGAATTGTTGTATGAAAAGAAAACACTAATTGAGTGTATATAATTCTACATTGTTACTAGTCTCAAATTTTATATACTTAAGTGAATTTCTCAATATTCCCACTCTCTATTTATAGGCCTGCAGGCAAGTAATAAATAAAGGGGGTAGCTAGAAAGTATTCCGAAATTATTGATATTTTAGCATGTCGTTTGTGGATAGTCTGTGGAGTAGAATCTAAGTTTTCGACCTCGAGGACCCTGTGTTAACTTGGGGAGAATTCAAAAGACCTAAGAATTTTCGAACTTTTTCAGTTTTTTACTCATAACTTCTAAACCATGTGTTTTTAGTAGAATACACCTATTTATAAAGTTGAAGAAAATTAAATTTTCTTCAAATTTAACTAATCAAAAGTATTCTTTAGCATAATAGTAACCGAGATACATTGGTTTGAAAATAAAAATCTCAACTATTCAAAAATGTATTCCCGTCCGAACATAATTTAAACCAAGCATGGGATAAACATCTTTTATCCTCGTTTCTTTCACGTGCACTCACAGTCTACTGTACCCCTGAATCATTTTTTTATTGTATCCTATTTTAATAATTATTATTGGAAAATAAACCTATTTTGATTTTGAATTTGAAGTCTTCCGTGCTGAACTTGCCTATATACTGACCATCCACCTTTCCTGGATACAAAAGAGCTATTCTAAATAGGTACAGGAGCTGTTGCTCCTGAAGTAGTGAACTACCACCTAGTATGATATGTTATTTTTTATATTTCTAATGCATTCCATTATCACTTGTATGTAATGAATAGCTACTAGTAATACCTTTTTGTTATAAATACTATCGGGTCTTCAAAAAAAAAACAATCAAAGACTGCTCTGATTACGAAAACGTACGTCGAATTATTGTTTCTTTATTGGTCAGGATTTTTGACAAAATTAAAGAAAAATATTGCTAAGACATACGTTCAAAACGCCATATCAACCTTTGATTGAGTTTTTTTTGAAGACCCGATATGTTTGTCACATAGACAGGTCATAACTTTTTTTCTATCATAGATAAAAAGCTGAATCTTTCACTGAATTTTATCCCTTTCAAAGGACTACAATCCCTGAAAATTTCAGCTCATTTGCACTTATAGTTCCTGAGATAAAATCGTGTTAAGCAATTTGGGGTGATTTATCAATTTTTCAATTTTTCTGAGTGCATTTTTTCATAGATTTCGGCTTCAAATCTGAGAATAATTTTGTGTATGGAGTTTGGGGTATGTTGATTGACCATTAGGATATAAAATCTCGACAAAAAAAAAATTGAAATTTCATCGTTCTAGTAAGGTCATAACTTTTTTTCTATTATAGATAGAAAGCTGAATATTTCACTGAATTTTATCTTTTTCAAAGGACTACAATCCCTGAATATTTCAGCTCATTTGTATTTATAGTTCTTGAGATAAAATCGTGTTAAGCAATTTGGGGTGATTTGTCAATTTTTCAATTTTTCTGAGTGCCTTTTTTCATAGATTTCGGCTTCAAATCTGAAAATAAATTATTGTATGAAGTTTGGGGTATGTTGATTGACCATAAGGATACAAAATCTCGACAAAAAAAAAATTGAAATTTCATCGTTTTAGTATGAAGGTTTTGGAAAAATTTGAAAGGTCATAGGGTAAGCAATATAGTTGTTGGCCCCGCGACAGTTATTGGCCATTAATATTTTGAATAGGTACGTTTAATTCGGGTCCTACAAAGATTTTTGAATCGAGAGATTGATATTTGCATAGTGTGAATTGTACTTTGGGAAAATAAAAATTTCCCGCGTATTGCACCCTTCAGTTGTCATGTAGTGGCTGATACCACAACAACGTGCATGGACAAGTGTTGATTTGAAGCAATTTAATTAAAAACAGGTAAGTAATGAGCTATTTTAATTTGTAACTTATGTACCTCTATCAAAATACGCATAATATTGAATAATATTATTGTATACACGTTTGGGTAGGAGTTTATTTGAATTTTAGCGAAAAAAAAACACGAAAAAAACATTTATGAATCGAAATTTTTGAGGGCCAATTACTATCTTTATGAAATTTGTATATTTCATAGTAATTGGCATCCCAGGCCAATAACTGTGTTATTTGTTAAGTTTTAAAATGTTATGTTTAAATGCAAATTTTGATTAAACTGATATTGAAAAAGTCTAATTTCAAATTAAATTCTTAATTTTATGATTCCATTTAGTTGTTGGCCCTGGCCAATAACTGTCACGTAAGACGGCCAATAATTGTTTTTCCATTTTCAGAATGCCAAAGACAGCCAACCAAGAGACTTATAGAAAAAATATTCAGAGGAGAGCCTAATTAAGGGTATTGAAGAAATCAAAAATGGAATGCACATACGAGAGGCTAGTAGAAGATATAACATTCCGAGAGCGACTTTACAATTTAGACTCTCCGACAAATTTTCCAAATCATCTCATGGACCTTCCCCGGTATTAACTAACCATGAAGAGGACATATTAGTTAAATGGATTAAGGACTGTCAAAAAAAGGGGTTTCCCCGAAGAAAAGAGGATATTCAAATATCTGTTAAACAATTTTTAGATGATTCCCCTCGTGAAAACCCATTTAAAGATAATCTACCTGGTGATGGGTGGTACAAGGCTTTCATGAAAAGGCATTCCGAGTTGACCACACGAAAATCCGAAGGAGTAACTGCAGCTTCATCTGTCATCAGTGAGCAAGATATAAGAAAGTGGTTTGATTGTATACACTCTTATTTGATTCAAAAAGGATATAATGAAGTACTTGAACACCCAGAAAGGCTCTTCAATGCCGATGAAACCAACTTTCAACTCTGTCCACAAAATAAAAGAGTAATAGCACCAAAGGGTACCAAAAACGTGTATGAGGTTGACTTGGGGAAAGCAAAGTCAACTCTTACTGTGTTATTCACTTTCAGTGCTGTAGGAAGTTACACACCATCATTAATTATATAGGTACCCAGGAAAAAGACTTCGCAAGGAGATAGGTGACTCCATACCCGAGGGATTTACATTTGCGACTAGCGACACAGGATGGATGAAAACTGAAATATTTTATGAATATGTAGCTAAAAGTTTTCACCCTCATCTAAAAAAAGAAGGCATTCAGTTTCCTGTAATACTCTTCGTTGATGGCCATAAAACCCACATTGATAGGAAATTGAGTGACCTTTGTACCAATCTTCAAATTATTCTTGTGGCTCTTTATCCAAATGCCACTCGAATACTACAGCCAGCTGACGTATAAACATTTCAGCCATTAAAAGATGGTTGGAGGAAGGGTGTTATTGAATGGCGAAGGAGTCATCCGACTGAGGAATTATTCAAAAAGGAGTTTGCAGGATTTCTGAAAGTGGTAATTTCAAAATCAGTCCGCCCAGAAATAATAATTATTGGTTTTAAAGCATGCGGATTATATCCTTGGAATCCCAGTTCAATAGACTTTAGTAAGTGTCTAGGAAAAAAGAAAACAGAGTCTAATATCTTACCCCAACTTAACGATGAAAATGTTATGAAGTTCAGTAGGTTTAAGGACATTATTGGCCCAACAAAAGTTAACTTATTCAGCAATGTAGATGTTGAATTGGAAAGGAACGAAGATAGAATTTTATATCAATTATGGAATGAATTTCGACACCCAAAGACTGAAGAACTACATGATGACGCGACAAATAGGGCAGGAAATTTTGAAGGAGGAGAGGAAGCCCTCCCTTTAGTAGAGAACGGTAGTGAAATAGATATAATTGACAATACGATGACAGAAGACCAAAATAATGTAAACACTGTAACAGGCGATCTTCAAAACGAATATTCTGGGTGTACTAATAAAAATAATAGATAATCCTAGTGAAAATATTACAGATGATCCAAATGAAATTTTTATAGATAATCCTAATGAAATTATTATTGATGATCCTATTACAATTACTTTCGATAATTCTATTCAAGAAGAACGAGATGGCACTTTAGATCAATATTTGCACTACCCCAATACGCCACAAAGAAAAGGAAAAAATACTTCCCAAAAAACTTCTTTTATATTATCCTCATCATCTTGGAAACAATTACATGATGAGAAAGAATTTAAAAAACGGGCTGAGCTTGAGGAAAAGGAAAATAGAAAAAAGGAAAGAGAACTGAAGAAAGTTACTAGAGAGAAGGCTGCACTTGAAAAACAAACAAAAAAGAAACAGGGGATAAAAAGAACAAAGCAGAAGATAAATATTTCAAAGAAGATTAAGCTTGACAATAGAACCAGTGCATCGTTGCAGAAAATACCGAAGGAAATATTACAGCCACTGCCAAGAGAAGAAAATATTTCACCTAAAAGCTTGGACACCACAGATAACAGGAATGATATTTTTGAGTGTTTCAGTGATAGCAGTGAAGATGATGAACCTTTGTGTACCTTAATTACCACCAAAGTACAGGTACATCAAGAAGCAACAAAACGGAAAATTGAAAATGCTGATTTTGAAAACATGAAGCCTGGTACCAAAATTAAGTTAATATCACAGCATGTACTGGCACCAACGACAGAAGAAAGAAAACTCTATAAGGTAACAAGGAAACTGGACTTTGAAGAAAATGAAAAACCTAATGAACACATCCATGAAGTTGTAGATTCGTCCAGTGTCGGACTGGCCCACCGGGCAACCGGGCAAAATCCCGGTGGGCCAGGTGACGTCTTCGACAGGTGGGCCATTCGAATATTTATAAATATAAATTAAAATATCCCACTCCCCACGCCATTGATTATCAAATCATACATTATTTCGCGTAATCCACCGTCCGCGTCCTTATAAAAAATCAACTTTCATATCTATATCAACTCCCTTCTGCTCTGAAAAATGTCAAGCTAAAGTCGCCTAGAAATCGCTCGCCGCATATCAGTGAATTTGAATTCAACTGACGAAATTTTTAGAAATACAGAAACAGGGTAGTGAATTTGTAAAAAAAGCCACATCACATCCTCACATTGGTTTTGGTACCTATTGATTTGTTTGTTTTTAAATGTAGGTACCTATAGGTAGATATAGAAATAAAAATATTGACTCGCAAAAATGCTTTAATAACTCTTGGTTTTTCGCAAGTTAATCACCCTGTTTATCCGAGAATCAGCACAATCAGCAACGCTAGAATAACTGAAACAGTTTTTCTGTTTCTTGATTACGATATCTGCTTCAAATATGATTGCATATTTGAATTCTGCGCGATTTTACATTCCTATCTTAGATTTTCATAATCTATCATTTGTCACCAACTTTGAATTCAATCGGAAATTAAATTTAATTGGAATTTTTAATCATGGATTAAATTCAAACTAAGATAGGAATGAAAAATCGGTTTTCCTCTAAAATTAACCGTTTAGGTTTTACAGCCTGTCAAAGTTGCAAAAACTCAATTTTCAACTGTCAATATTTCCAAAACAAAATGCAATCACATACAGGGTAGGGTGTCTTATTTAAAATAAGCAAGTTGACAAGACACCATCTTGAAAATATTTCAGCCTGGTTGCCCCAATTGACATCAGTATACTGTCGAATTTTCAGAAATTTTCTGCAAACAGTTTTTCATATCGATTTGCTTCCCAGTGGGACGCCCTGTATAAAACGGGTACAGAAAAAAGAGCGATCGCGAGAAAACAACAATAAATAGAAGCTGCAGCATCAAGCCAACAACTGACTTAATTTTTTTTAATACTAAAACAAATACAAATCCGTCAACCGAGGGAAGTTTCGAGGATGCTTCTGCATGTTCTACTTCTACAGAGATTCTAGAAACAGAAGAACTATCCCCGATTGCAAGAAATGACCCACTGTTAAAAGCAGCATCAAGCAGTAGCCGAGCAATCTGCCCTGCCTTCAATACCACAAAATCAAAAAGGGGTTCAGGAAGACTCAATGCCCGGTTTCCCCGGCCAATCTTCGACTTCATGGAGAAAAGAATATACTGTAGAACAATCCGAAATACATTTAGCCTCTAGCCCCAATTCTGAGATAATAAAGAGTGTGTAACGGATAAATTCATATCATTTTTTTTTTGTTGGAAAAATGCTCGAACACTCCTATCTTAATTTTCGTTTTTCCAAAAAAAATATGCTTAAATTTTAAATGAATTTATCCGTTACCTACTTTAAGGACACTGTATATCCTGTTGTTTTTTTTATGTTACCTACTCTTAATTTTTATGGTAATTTATATACAACTAAAGTCTGTTTTTTTTTTAAAGATAAAAGTCAAAATGACATTATGTTGGCAATACAATGTAAAATTGTCATGCTTCCAAATTTTTTACGTAGAAAAGGCTTGTGTTGCCAACATAGTTACTAAATTTTTGACTTGGGGAATTATCTTTAAAAAAAAAACAGATTTTACAAACTACATACTACATCGGTAAATAACAACAAAATATAAACAGGTAGGTGGAATAAACCTGAAGTACCTACCTTTTTTTTTTTAATACAACTAAGTACCAGATTCAACAAATGATTATCAAAATTGTTTTTATTGAATAGGGTTTGGGTTGGGTGGGCCACTTCACCATTTGCCCGGTGGGCCAAATGACCCCCAGTCCGACACTGGATTCGTCATTGGTTTTCGTTAAAAATAATTTAAATTCAGGAATATGTTTTTCTTGTACAGTGTGGTCATTTTATCTTGATAACATTTTAAACTGTCATAATTTCTTTATTTTTAAAGTTATATGAATAAATAAAAAAACATACTCTAGGGTTGCTTTCCAAGTTTTAGGTAGGATGGATAAGAAACAAAAGACTAATATATTTTGACAGTTATGCGCACAAACAGCATTTTTTTAAATGGAACACCCAGTAAATTTTTAATTTGTTTGATAATATGTTTCATTCTGATTGCAATATATACAATACAATACAAATGAGTACAATTCACTTTATACTTACATGCAGAAATGTTTTATTTATTCTAACTGAAAATTTTGATTACCTACACAGATTACCTGCAAAGGTAGTCAGGTAGACAGAATTTTCCATTAGAATAAATAAAACATTTCTACATGTAAATATGAAGTAAATTGTATTCAATTGTATTGTATTGTATATATTGTAATTAGAATGGAACATATTATCAAACAAACTAAAAATTTACAGGTGTTCCATTTAAAAAAATGCTATTTGTGTGCATACCTGTCAAAATATATTATTTTTTTGTTTTTTGTCCACCCTATCTAAAACTTGGAAAACAACCCTACAGTATGTTTTTTTATTTATTTAAATAATTTCAAAAATAAAGAAATTATGACAGTTTGAAATGTTATCAAGATAAAATGACCACCCTGTACAAACAATATTACTTTTTCAAATTCAGGTGTTAGATGTGAAAACTGTACTAGATCTTATCACATAATTTGTATAAAAAAACATAACATGCATAAATCAAATTCTGCTGCCGTACTCTGTAACAACATAGAGAATAAATTTCCTTTCTATGATAGAAAATTGACGAAAAGGAACTATCTAACCCCACTCGGCTTGACTCGCTACCCCAAACTACCTGCTCGTGTCCAAGGAAATAGAAAAACCCTGAAAATTTCAGCTCATTTGCACTTATAGTTCCTGAGATAAAATCGTGTTAAACAATTTGGGGTGATTTATCAATTTTTCAATTTTTCTGAGTGCCTTTTTTCATAGATTTCGGCTTCAAATCTGATAATAAATTATTGTATGGAGTTTGGGGTATGTTGATTGACCATTAGGATACAAAATCTCGACAAAAAAAAATTTGAAATTTCATCGTTTTAGTAAGAAGTTACCCCCCTTATGATTTAGATTTTGGAAAAATTTGAAAGGTCATAACCTTTTTTCTATTATAGATAGAAAGCTGAATTTTACACTGAATTTTATCCCTTTCAAAGGAGTACAATCCCTGGAAATTTCAGCTCATTTGCGCTTATAGTTCCTGAGATAAAATCGTGTTAAGCAATTTGAGGTGATTTATCAATTTTTCAATTTTTCTGAGTGCCTTTTTTTATAGATTTCGGCTACAAATCTGAGAATAATTTTGTGTATGGAATTTGGGGTATATTAATTGACCATTAGGATATAAAATCTCGACAAAAAAAAATTGAAATCATCATTTTAGTAAGAAGGTACCCCCCCTCCCCCTTATGATTTAGATTTTGGAAAACTTTGAAAGGTCTTAACTTTTTTCTATTATAGATAGAAAGCTGAATCTTTCACTGAATTTTATCTTTTTTAAAGCACTACAATCCCTGAATATTTCAGCGCATTTGAACTTATAGTTCTTGAGATAAAATCGTGTTAAGCAATTTGGGGTGATTTATCAATTTTTCAATTTTTCTGAGTGCCTTTTTTCCTAGATTTCGGCTTCAAATCTGAGAATAATTTTGTGTATGGAGTTTGGGGTATGTTGATTGACCATTAGGCTAAAAAATCTCGACAAATTTTTTTTTGAAATTTCATCGTTTTAGTAAGGTATCCCTCTTTTGCTTTTCCTTGTAAAGATACATCAGCTTCTATTGTTATAGAATGCTTAAATCATTTGTTTTCATTATTTGGAATTCAAGCTTTTTTACATTCGGATCGCGGATCAGCATTGATGCCAAAGGAACTCACTGAATATTAACCTTCTCGTGGGATAGCTTCTAGTAGAACTACACCGTATTATCCGGAAGGAAACGGACAAATTGAACGATAAAATGGTATTATATGGAAATCTATCAGCCTTGCACTCAAATCTAGAAAACTATATACTACTCATTAATGGGAACTTATGTTACCTTACACTCCATTGGATCTTTGCTTTGTACTGCAACGAACTGTACGCCTTATGAGAGATTATTGAATTATCAACGCAGGTCAACTAATGGAACGTCAGTTCAACATGGCTTAAACAATCAGATTTTGTTTTGCTTAAGAAGCATGTACAACGTAGTAAATACGATCCTTTGGTAGAAGAGGTTGAACTCTTAGAGGTTAATCCAGACTATGCTTTAATTAGACACGAATATGGAGAGGAAACCACTGTTGCTGTAAAAAATTTAGCACCCAGTGGAGATATAAAACTTATAAATGCACCTTCGGAACATAGCGACATTCAAAATCCTACTGAGACAGTATACAAGGAAGCGGATCCTGTGTGCCCAATAACTAAATTTAATTGGAATTTTCAATCATGAATTAAGTTGGTGTTGGTGTCAAATGATGGTTTATGAAAATCTAAGACAAGAATGTAAGATCGGTTGTCTTCTAAAATTAACCGTTTAGGTTTTACAGCCTGTCAAAGTTGCAAAAAATTCAATTTTCGACTGTCAATATTTCCAAAAAAGTTGAACTGAAGATGTCATGAAATCTGCTCAGAATTTTACGTAGAATCATATACAGGGGTGTTCCATTTGAAAAAACAAAGTTGGTCTGGATAGCAAAAAAACCAGAAGTGACATAAACAATTCGTCTAGGTTGATATGTGGGAAATAATTTACTGAGCAACTTTAATTAAAGTCACTCTTTCGTATACAAGATAATTAATAAGTTACAGTTAATATGCGCGACTTTTTTGCCACTATTTATATTGTTCCCAATCGATAACGATTTGTTTTTCTTGTCACTAAAAGAATTTAAGAAATTTTGCTTTAAGTTGGCTCATCTTATTTCCAATATGTTGTTGAATTGTTCCAAATTGTCGCGAAATTATTATTTATTTATACTTTGAACACTTCAGATATAGCCTACGCCTACTTACAAATTCTATGCCATGCGGATGAAAAGTTGTTATGTTGACAATAATACATGAGATTTTTCACCGTATAAGATAATGGATGTTTTGTTGAGGATACGTGACTCGAATTTTTAGTGCGGACTTAACTGCACTAATGATAGTAGACAAATTACTTCTATAAAACAAACGCGCCTCAGAGATTAGACAAATTAATTTTCAATTACTAGCTAGCTGAGGTAAATATATTCTAACTACAATACTTGTTTATAATCAGCATTTTTCATTTTGTTATCCGGGGTATACAGGGTATCCTGTATATGATTAAATTTTTGGGATTTTCTACTCGAGAGCAAGCTACGTATAGTTGACCGTGAGAAGAGCAGGAGTCTTTGAGGTTGCCGCAATATTTTAAAGTTTGTCCTTGCGCTTTGGTAATTCTAAAACTATAGGCTAATTTGATTGGAAATTGCAGTCTTTTAAATTGCAATGACAGTTCAGTAGAGATCAGTGGTATTCTGGGGATAAATTCTTAGGTTTTCCTGGATCTTCGAATCTCTGAGACCATCAATAAACGCTGATACTGCCATCCATTCCTGCATGTCTTCCCCAGCTGCAGGAAACGCCAAACTCACTAGCCTTTTAACTTACGATTCGAATTCTTGTAGACTCTCGCCGGGTTTTTGAACTCTTGATTTAAATTGAGTTCTGAATACTTCTTGTCTGTAATGGTCGCCGAAGCGCAATTCTAAAGTTTGACTAAGATGCTGGTAATTCTGTTGGTAGATTGAAGGAATGGGACTGAAGAAGATCTAGGGCTGGTACTCGTAGCGCCACTATCAGTGCTGTAGCTTTTTCTTGATCGTTCCATCCGTTGGTATTTGCAGCAGCTTCAAATTGTCGGATATACATGGTCCAGGATGTAGAACGGTCAAAAGTTGGTGGTTTTATCTTCATACCAGAGAATGCTCCAACACTAGCTGGATTGATGGACTATATTTCTAATCTACGCATCTTATCTTCGAGTGCTTGAACTTGGTCCTCAACTTCTTGTCTTGATTGCTGAACATCGGCTTTGACCTCAGCTTTTACTCCCTGAACGTTGTGTTTAACTTCTCGAACATCGTCTTTAACTTCTTGAACATCGATTTTAACCTCTTGAACATCGTCCTTAACTTCGGCTTTTACTTCTTCAATTTTTTGTTCTAGGTTAGCGACAGATCCTTGTATGGTTTGAAATATTTTCTGCAGTTGTCCAATGTCTTCTTGTCGTTCTTGTTGTCGTCTAGCTTCTTCTTCTTGTTTTTCTTTTTTTCGCCTGAGTTCTTCGTCTTGTTTTTCTTGTTGTCTTCTGGCCTCTTCTTGTTGTCGTCTAACTTCTTCGTCTTGTTTTTCTTGTTGTCTTCGGGTCTCTTGAAGTTCCAACATTTTGCGCAGAAGTTCTTCAACTTTTTGTTGATCCATTTTTGCTTATTGTCTTGTGATAGGCATATACAGAACGTTCTAGAATTTCCCTCGAACTTTCTTCAAATATCTTTTCTGGTCTTTGCTCGAAGTTTCAAACACGCCGGTGAAGTCACAAATTGGATAACTTGGTTTATTCTAGAATAGAATGTTCTGGAATTTTCTTGAAATTTCTTTTCTAGATGTTGATTGATACAGCAAACACGTCGGTGAAGTCACAATTTCGATATCTCCCTTGGTTTCCAAATAGAATGTTCTGGAATTTTCCCGAAACTCCTCGAAAAACTTCTTCTGAATTACGATTGATGTTTCGAATACGTCGGCGAAGTCACAAATACGATATCTACCTTAGTTTCCTAATAGAATTTTCTAGAACTCACTCGAAAATTCACTATCACAGTCAAAATGGGGTAAAGAGTCACTTCCGGAGTAACTTACACGAACGGTTAAGTCTCTTTTTGTGATTGTCACTGTTTGGCACTGACTAACTGTCCCAGTGTTCACTTAGTGTTCAGTTTTTACACTACACTAGTGTCCCCGCACTTCCGCAATTGGATTTCACTCTGCAGTTCTGACACCAATTGTCACGGTTTTGGGTTGCCTGACAGAAATCTTGGGTTCGTTTCGTTTATTCCAAAAATCAAAGTACAATTAACACAGCAATAATTTATTCCACTTAACAATACACTCTGACACTTATTACTTTAATAACTAGCTCAACAATCAAACTTTTACAACTCGCAACAGTAAGCACTATTTAAATCGTATCACAGTCAAACTGAAACTTAAATTTACAAAGCAAGAGGGGCCTTTTATATATCCCTAAATCTATTCCTGTAAAATCTAGAACACACACGATAATCTTATTTCTCGATTATAGTAGAATAATTCGCTAGATTCCAGGATATTCGACATCGGATTCTTGACAGCCTGGCGGACGCCTATTCTAGCAACAGCGTTTAGCGTTATCGTAACAATATATTGATCACAATCAAAAACTTATAGATATTTTTAGGATATTTTTCGAAAATTAAACGCAAATTGATGGACTTTTTTATGTTTTTTGTGGTTTGTTTGCTTTGAAGGTGCCATTTTTTGTCTAACTTATCCGTTTTCATTACCATCATAACGATTTTCAGAAACACAATCAAATCATAACATCAACATTTTGTCCTTGCAACTAATTTTTATAAAAATGTGGAAACATTTAAGCCTATATTAAGTATAAGAATAACTGTTATAATGCATCACGATATAAATTTAAAATTAAACTTTCAATTTCAGGTGAAAATTCTTCCAACTCCCAAAAAAACGGCGAATCTTCCAAAGAAGCCACACACATTCACACTGTGAACTCGAGCCCTTGCACCACCATAACTGTGGTGAATTCGAAAAGCAAAAACCCCGGTTCCAAGGTGGTTGTGATTGAACCACCAAGAAAACCTGGAGGCGTCTATCAATTCATTGAAGAAAGACAACGAATCAGCTTATCGAAGGAACGAAGAGCGGCCAGAACTTTGGGCATCATCATGGGTGTGTTTGTAGTTTGTTGGCTTCCTTTTTTTCTAATGTACGTTATCGTGCCATTTTGTCCTACCTGTTGCCCTTCTAGGAGACTAATAAATTTCTTTACGTGGCTGGGTTATATAAACTCTGCACTTAATCCTGTTATTTATACGATTTTTAATATGGATTTTAGAAGGGCTTTCAGGAAGTTATTGGGTATACCAGGAACTAGTTAATTTGATATTCTAGGATTAATGCAACGTGTAAGTATAAATTAACGTGAAAATTTGTTATTCAATATAGATAATATTTAAAAGTACAAACACTGTAAAAAGTTTCCTTAAATTTAATGTTATATGGATTATCTCTAATAATAAAACGAGTTGGTTGTAAATGTGTTTAGGTGGCCAACCAAATAGTTAGGTATTTTTAGGAACGACAAAGTGGAGCTAAATATTGGAGGAGAGTTTAAACGCAAGTTGGTGGGATGCTAGGGATGTCGCTCTATAGCCGCCATCTTGAAATGACAGGTTGTTTACGATACAATAATTATAGTTTTTGAATAAATTACTCGCATAGACAGTTTTCTAACCGTATTTGACAATATATTGTCGTCGAGGTATATCCACTTCATATCTCAAAATAATCAGCAACGTGGAGCATTGCGAAGCAATGCAAAGCAATTTTAGTGGGCGAAAAATGTACGTGCAAGTAAAGAAAAATTCATTATTCAATAATTTCGCGCTTACCTTACCATACAAAATTCAAAATTTGACACCGAGATGAGCGCTTACGCGTACCGAAGAGGACAAAACCCGAATAACGAGAACGAATCGATATTAGCTAGTAACCGGTATGGCAAATCCGCGCGAGAAAGAAAATACCAAAAATTCCCCTTTTATCGCAAATATATTCCTTAACTTTCGATCGTGACTTCATGATACTTTTTGGTACTGCTTTACTGTAACCAACCGGATTCTGGAGCGCTCTCCTACACGTGCAGAACATCATCCATCAAGGTAGGTGTTTACCATTTATTTGGAATTTTTATGATATCGCAGAAATATTCTTAAATTCTGATTTTGATTGATCTTCCGCTATTATTTGCAATAATTTCTCAACAAACGTGCAGTTGGACTTTTCAAATTTGTGTTCTTTTGCCATTGGAAACTGAAGATCATGAATTAACGTTGACTTACCGCTTCCTCGCACTGATTGATCCTGAAGTGTTGAGAATTGGTTTCGATATGTTGAACAGCCTTTAAATTTTTAATAAAACTCCGACCTTTTTTAGTCAAGGCAGTGATTTGTGTCTATAACTGTCAACTTTCTTTGGTGCGAGACTCCCCAATAGATGTTGACGCATTTCCTGCCTCAGCTGAATAATAGTTTAGATTGCTTAACCTCAGTGTTAAGGTCCGCAATAAACAGCCTTAGATTGGTCACTGCATCAATGATCATATTTGCATTACCTCCAGCAGCCGCTTTCCAGACTATTTTATCTCTAAAAGCCATGACTTCAGATTTGTTTCTTAAACAGCATATTTTATGAGAAACATCAATATTTTAACGCATCGAGGTGTATTATTCTCTATTTTAGCAGAACTGAGAAGTAATAGTATATAGAAACTGGCAGGTTTTTCGGTAAACGATATTTATCAAAATTTTTATTGATAAATCATTATTGAAAGTTACCTGAACATACTAAAACTGATCGTCTGCCGTTTTAGGGTGGCAGCTTCAATTGGGGGTTAAATTTTAAAAAGAGATGAATTTTTATTTTGGTGAACGATATTTATCATGGCCGAAATTTTCGGAGACGAATTAACAGTTTGAGGACTTATCAAAATTACACAGGCAGACGATTTGTTTTACTGAACAACTTCGGCAGACGCCTGTCAAATTTGTAATTTTTGAGTTATAGTGAACGATATTTATCAAAAAAATCAAAGTTATTCTTTCACGCAGTCAGCAGCAGCAATATATTCTGATTCGGTAGTCGAAAGTGACACAATCGGTTGCTTCCTAGAACACCAAGATATAGGTCCACCACAGAAAAATATAATGTATCCTGTGGTACTTTCACGTGATTCAGTGTCCTCTGCGAAATCAGAATCACAGTATGCAATCATTTTTTCATTATTATTGTTCTCAAAACTGATCCCTTCATTTCTTGTAGAAACCAAATAACGAAACAGTCTTTTTATATTCACAATATCTTGTTCTGAAGGGTTTTCCATTTTTCTTGTGCAATAATTCACAGCATATGAAATGTCTGGCCTGGTCTTATTGGCTAAGTATAACAGGCTGCCAACAGCCTCTCTATATGGGTAAGTTGTATTGACTATTTTGTTTTTAGGGTACTTATCTTGTAAATCCATCGGCGTGGATACTGATTTTGAATTTTGCATATTGAATTTTTCCAATGTTGTCTCTGCATAGTTTTTCTGATTTAGGATAATTTTACCATGCAGATTTTCAATCTCAATTCCCAATAACGTATTAGAATTTTCATCAATAGTCATTTTAAATTCACTTTTAACGGTTTTAAGCCGATTTATTATTTCTTCTTCACATTCACTGATCACCAAACCATCATCTACATAAATTGCTAAACATAGTGGTTCGTCTTTGTTCGTGAACATACATTGGTCTCCTTTCAATGAAATTAAACCATTTGATTTCAAAAATTTCGTAAAACGTTCATTCCACTTTAATGGGGCTTGTTTCAAACCATCATACAGGGATTTTTTCAATAGGCTTACTTCATTTTCTCGTATTTCATTTATGTAACCTTCTGGTGTATGCATGTAGATTTTCTCTGATAGTTCTCCATATAAAAATGCACTTTTTATATCAAATTTTTTGCAGCAGTTTTGGCTGCTTATGCAAATAAAATTCTAAGTGAACTAGTGTTTACAACTGGGCTAAACGTCTCATTGTAGTCTATGTTATGTTGTGTAGTGTATGTTATATGTATTGTTGACATCCTCTTATCACTAATCGTACTTTGTATTTACCACAATCGTTTTCAGTAAATACCCACTTGCTGGTCAATATTCTTTGATTTTTCACTTCATTTTTATCAATGAGTTCCCAAGTTTCATTTTGTTTTAATGATTCTTTTTCTTCATGTATAGCAGCTAACCAATTTTCTTTCTCTGGTCCAGTAGTTGCTTTTTGGTATGTTAATAAAGCTTCATCACTCAGGTCCAATATATAATCCTTCAATCTCTCTGGTTGTTTTATTTCCCTACCTCTTCTGGTTTGTAGACGACCTTCTCCTAATCTTTCATTTCTTTGCATTGACTGATTTTGTTCAGATTCACTTGATAATAACTTGATAATAACATCTTCAATGTCTGTTGATCTGTCATCTTCAAGGTAATCTTCATCTTCACTCTGTTCATTGTCTTCTTCTTTGTTTTCTTTCAAATTCATCTTGATTGTGTTATTCTGCCCTCGACCTCTATTTTCGGGCTCTTCAAAAACTACATCTCTTTGTACAATGATTCTTTTTAAATTTCCATCCCATAAGCGGTAACCATTTGTTGCATATCCAACGAAGATATACTTTCTTATCCTCGAGTCAAGTTTTTGTAAATAAAAATAGTTTTAGCATAGGCTGTGGAGCCGAAAATTTGCCACCTTGCTAAATTAGGCTTATTACCTGTCCAGTATTCTATTGGGGTCTTTTCAGTAGCTTCCGCGGGACTTCTGTTTAGTAAATATTAATGCTTTGGCCTTTTCTAACAATGCTCTATTTAGCCTTTTGGCTTTCCCATTTAATTGTGCTGTATGTGGTATAGTATAATCTAATACAATACCTTTGTTCTTCGACCATTGCTTAGAATTTATAGATACATGCTCCCATCCATTATCGCAGTAAATTTCAGCAACTTTCATCTTATGATACGACTCTACTTCTGTAATAAAATCTTTTAAATAGTCTGGGACGTCATTCTTATATTTCAAAAAATAAATGTTACAATAATGAGAACTGTCAATATATAACTTTTACCATCTCAAGTCAAGGGTTCTATTGGCCCACATAAATCTGTGCGCATAATTTTTAAAGGCCTCTTGGCTCTCTGTCTGACAGTTTTAAATGGCAGCCTAGTCTGCTTAGCTTCTAAACATACCTCACAGACTCTCAATTCCCACTTGTGAGACCCCAAATTCAGAAACTTGGCAAGATCTTGAATTGGCGAGCGGTGACTTTAGTTTCTGAGTGGAGACACAGTTTAAAGTGGGTTCTATCTGCGTGTGGAGAGAGTAAAACACAGAAATATTGTGGACGATTAAAATAAAGTTTATTTTATTAAAATAAATAAAGCTTGTTATTAAATTAAATGCGTCGGTAATAAATAATCTTACAATAAAATTGTTAGATTCTAATAAGCATCAATTAACTGTTAAGGAAAATATATATGATTCCAAATCAAAACTTTTATTTACAGTTCGACTCGATTCACACTCTTGCTTTCACAATTTCTGGCTGAACATAAAAAAAACTCTACTTACATTTAACAATAATATATTTACTGCTGGCCACACCTAATTACATGGAAATCTTATTGGTCGAAGGAATTTACTTTAATTATGAACACTTAATAAAAAACTCGAATATTTTCGCGCTGTTATTTCACGTCGTGCTTCTTCTCTCGGTTAATTCGACAACTCTTGCACGTCGTAGTTCTGACTTTCTGGACACAGGTCTCTCGATTCTCGATTATTACTTGTTTTTTGATTACTCAATCGACACTGGTCCTTCACGCCGAAGTTCTGCTGGTTTACTTTTACTCGCTCTTTCTCGAACACTGATTTTCTCCTGCCAAAGTTGCCTTTTTATATCATTGGTCCCTGTATTGTCTTGAATTTCTTTATTGTTTCTGACCTCGATTTTTTGTGGTTGAATCATCCGATCAATTAGTGTATTTGGCCCCCTTTTAATTAATTCTCAAGGGCGTTACTAAGTGGTTTGTTAAGTGGGTATCATCATATAGGCTCGTGCATGATTTATTGATTCTTTTAGAAATTTTTCGGCTCCTTTGGAATGTCGATTGTTGAAAAGGTCCATAAACTTTTGCTTTATTCACATTCCAATGTATCAGTCAATAGGTATAGAGTATCGGCTTTCAACAATTTCTGGATATCGATGTTCAGATAATTTTTAATTGAAGTTTCTGGTTGTGCTATCTAAGTGATGATCTCTCCTGGGATGGTTATTTGGTAA